CTTGGTACCGAGGGGTCTTCAAAGGAAACATTTGGCGTTTTCCTCTGCCTGGAGTTGATAGGAGTACGGTCCCCAGTACTTGGTACCGAGGGGTCTTCTTACAAACATTTGGTGTTTCCTTCATTTGTCGTAGGTGATTGGAGTGTCAACCATCGACACTTGGTGCCGAAGGGTCTTGCGTGTGACAAGGCCTTGGGTCAGTAGTCTGCGTGAGGGCTTGGCCGCTCACATGTGTCTTGTTTTCTGTTCTTAGTGTCTTCAATATGTCTTCAAATTTGAAGGCTTTGGGCCATAGGATAATACATTCATTAGTTATGAGGGCTTGGCCGCTCTAATATTACTGGTAAAATTTAACTATGTGGTGTACATTCCAATGTCTAGGGACCTCTGTCCCATTGGGGCGTTTGAGTTTGTAAGTCCCAGGTTTGATGATGGTTGCGACGATGTAGGGGCCCTCAAAATTTGGTGCCATCTTGCCACCCTCGGTTGGTTGGCTTGCTTCCCTCCTACGGAGGACGTAGTTCCCTACTTGGAATTCTCGGGAGCGAACCTTGGCGTCGATGTAACCCTTTACTTGCCTTCGGTAGTTTTCCGCTCACATGAAGGCTTGCTCTCGGCGTTCTGAAATGAGGTGAAGGTCGAGGGCCATGTTGGTGTCGTTGACTTCGGGATCGTATTGGGCTACCCTTCGGGTAGGAAGGGTCACTTCCATGGGAGCTTTAGCCTCAAATCCATAGCACAGAGAGAATGGTGTTCCACCTATTGCCCGCCGAGGGGTGGTGCGGTAAGCCCGTAGGATGTTGTGGAGTTCTTCTACCCAGCCTCCCCCTTCGGCCTCCAGCTTCTTTTTTAGGCCCTCAAGTAATGTCCGGTTTGCTTTCTCCACTTGACCGTTGCCTTGAGGGTAAGCAACGAATGAGAAGGTATGTTTGATGCCCCATGACTTTAGGAGGGCACAGAAGGGGGCTGTCTCAAATTGGGTCCCATTGTCGGAGATGATTTGTTAGGGGACGCCAAACCTGTATCAACGTAAGTTCTGTGGATGATAGTGTCATTGATCTCCGTACGGATGACAAGGGCATCCCTGTGTGGAGAGGAAGCAGGGCGGAGATCGGCGTTTGTGAATGTGATGGGCTCCTCCCTCAGCCGCTTTACCGGGGGCATTTGAGTGACTTCCCCCACGTATAGTGATTGAGCCCACTTCTTCCGCTGGCTGGTGAAGTCCCCCCCTGTATTGCCACCGGTGATCATGAGGATGTGGTGCTTCTTCTGTTGGTAATGAGGGTACTCCTCCTCCTCGTCAAGGTTCCCAATCTCCCTTTTCTTACCTTTCGGATCACCGAGGGGGATGGTGTTTGGGTTGACCCAAGCGTTTGCTTTCTTAGGGGGGACCTGGTAGTGAGGGGTCCCCTGAGGCAGAGGGCCTCTGATGAATTGGGACAGGTGGCCTGCCTGTATCAACCTTTCAATGGCCGTCTTCAGCTGATGGCAGTCGTCGGTGATGTGCCCTTGGTTGCGATGGAACCGACAGTAAGGATAATTGGGGTTGATAGCGTATACCTCCAGGGGTGCGCGAGAGTCGCGTTCTACAAGGCCCCTCTCCTCGGCGAAGTCTAGGATGACACTGACGGGGTGTGTCAAGGGAGTCCGAGGGTGCTCCAAGAGAATGGGTTGGGCCCAAGCCTTCGGGTTTCCCTTGTAACCTCCCCCGGGCTTGGCTTGGCCATGCCGGGGGCGATCATTGGGGGGTGCCGAAACCTTGGGTTGATTTGGGGGAGCCCCCGACCCCCGGTTGCCTTTGTCATCTGACCGAGGGCGTTGCTGATCAGGGTTGTGATGGCACTTTTCTACCTCCTCTGCCTCGGCGTACCGGTCCCCACGCTGCAGGGCCCTTATGTAATCGCGGGGAGGTTCAATGATGAGGCTCCTTGAGAAGTTCCCGGGGCGGAGGACTGTTCGAAGGAGGGCCAGGAGGGTCCTGTCGTCAGCGCCATCAACTTTATCCGCCTCCGTCCTCCAGTGTTCCAAGAAGTCCCGAATGGTCTCCTCCTTCCTTTGTCTTACCGTTAGTAAGTGGGAGAAGTGTTTCCTTGACCGGCGCCTCCCTGCAAACTGCGTCAAGAAGCGTTGGGCGAGTTCTTGCCATGAATCGATGCAGCCTTCGGGCAATCGGTTGAACCATTCGTACGCTGGTCCCTCTAAGGTGGAAAGGAACCAACGACACAAATATTCGTCTGATGCCCCCACCATCATCATACTGTTTTGGTATCGGCTGTAATGCTCCTGGGGTCTGTTTTTCCCTCATAGGACCTGATGGGTTGCTCCCGGTATTTTTCCGGAATTCGGGCTGCCAATACCCTTGGGGTAAATGGCGTCCTAGTCCGGAGTTGGATGACGGGTTCCCCGGAGCCCTCAGCTATTCTCTTTTGCATCTCCTCCATTTTGGCCATCATGGCCTCATATTTGGGATCTGCATGAGGGGTGGTGACAACGGTATGTGCTCGATGGGCCTCCATCTCATCAAGCCGGCGCTGGAGGGCCGCAATGATCTCGTCCCTGGGATCCTTCGGGAGGGCCTTCGCCCCCTGCGAACGAATACGGGCCAAGTGGGCCTGATTGATTTGATGTATTGCATCATCGTCATGGAGTGGTGTCTTGCCTTTGTCCTGAGGAGGACGTCTTTCGTCTGCCCTGGAGACGGATCCACCACTTTCCTGAGGTCTTTGGAACGCCTTCCCCCCGAGGCGGTCTTGGACCCCTCAGCGGTCTTGCCCCCCTCCGAGCCTCTCGAGGGCGGAGGTCCGAGGTCTTTCTTTGTTTGTGCCATGGCGGTCTCGGGATTGGACCTCCTCAGAGGCGGTGTCCTGGGCCACGACTCCCTCGTCGTTCCCCATCCGAAGGATAGGTTTCGTGAGGGGGAGTGGTGGTGGGAGCGGTATGGCGTTCTCCCCGACCTGTGGTTGAAGGGACACCATAGAACGCTGATTGCACGTCAATAGTAAGGACCGGAGGGCTCACTTGGTTTTCGCTCCGGTCCTTTTTCCTGGCCTCGATGCCAAGGCGGGCATCGGGGGCATTTTGTTAGAGCTGAAGGCGTAGGTCGACAGCCGTCTGGTCCAACCCGGCGATGACGCCGCCCTCGGGAGCACTGTTAGAGGCTTCGGGGACGTCGACTTCGCCGAGGGCCAGGTTCCTGTCCTCATGAGTCTTGGATTGGGCACGGGTGTTTCTTCCCATTTTGATATGTGTTTTTAGCTGAAGGGGAGGGTTTCTTACTTGATTGTTCGACCTCTCAACGAGAGCACCAAATGATGGATAAGTGTACCCGAGAGGTATCTATCCGAGGGGTTACTGCGAGGAGTAACTAGAGAGAAATCAGAGCAAAAGTAGTTAGAGAGAGAGTCAAATGTATTAAGTGAACTCAACGTGGATTACAAATGGGAAAAGGGGTGCTATTTATAGCAGCAATAAATGCTAGATAGGGACACATGTCATCATTCTGGTGGTCGAGGGGTCACCTCAACGGGATGGCACTGGCACTCGCATGTGGCCGCATTAAACGCGGTGGTTGGATGTGACGTTTGTACTCGGTACGTTGATCCAGCGCATGTGGGTGGGAGATTCTGTCGAGGAGATGCCTTCGGCCGTAGATGATTGGTCGAAGGCTCTTCATCCCGGGGGCCTCTAGGTGCCGAGGGCTCTAGATACCGAGGGCTACTGTTTTCGCCGCTTTCTCACAGACACTTTGAGTGTTTAAAAGCAGTTGTACTGTAAGTTTATGAGCCTTCAGCCAGGGGGCCGAAGGCATTCCAGTGTTCGTCGTGGGTTGTTTGGCACTTGGGGCGCTGTGATTTGGGTCTGCTCTGCTTCCTCGGCCTATTGGGCCTTCGCTATAGTAGTGGGAGTCTATGGGCAAGGGGTTCCTGGGCCATATACTCCATCATAACTCTTTAAGTTACTGTTATAGCAATGGTTCATATTTTTGTAAACAATCTTTAATTTAATTATAAATATATAATTATTTCTATTAAATCCCCCACCTTCATTAGAGAAGTTTTTGTTGTGATTTATTAAATTGCAAAATGTGAATTAAAAATTACAAAAAGATGATATATTAGACTTGGACTCGGGCCGGGTCGCCGGTTCTGAACAGATGGGCCCGGGACCGGCCCGAGTACCCACCGGGTCCGGGTACTCACCGGGTCCAGTCTGGGTCCTGGCCTATTATCAATTTTTTCCCCTCTTCTTAATTAACCCCCCTCCCACCCCAAATGGCCCAAAATACCCAGCCCAACCCGAAAATTTAAAAAAAAAAATTAAAAAAAAATCAATTTTGGCCCGAACCGGACCCGAACCCGGCCGTGTCGGACCTTGTTTTGGGTGACCCGAGCCCGGACCGGAAAACCTACGGGTCGGCCCTACCCGGACCGGTCACTGACCGGGCCACCGGGTCAGGCCGGGCCGCAACAATACCGGTCCCGGGTTGGTTCCGGGTCGGGCCACCCGGCCCGAGTCCACCCCTATGATATATTAATCTTTGATTAATAGGAAGACAAGTTATATACGGGGTGATTGAGTCTACTTTTTGAAACTACGTCTGACATCTGAAGAAGCAGAAGTAAATATTGGAGTGTTGGATGGAAGTGCTGAAATACTTGTGTACTCAAAAGTGCGCTTAAGTTGATTTTGAGAAGTTGGGGGGAAATCATTTCTCAAAAAAGCAAAACCAAAATCATTTCAAAATGCCTCTAATTGCACACCCAAGGAGGTACCTACCGTGTACTCCCTCCGTCCCGGTCATTTCTTCCGGTTTTGACCGGTATCGTAAATTTAGGTAATGAGAATAAAATGAAAATGTATAATTGTAGTTGTGCAGAAAAAAGTGAATGAACGTGAACCATATGTTTTTTTAAAAAGTGAAAGTTGAAAGAATTAATAGAGGCAGCATTTGAGAGGGGTATATGTGTGAGAGTGTTTTCAACGATGCAATCAATTGGTTGATTGATTGTGAAGTGAAAAGAATGTGAGGTGGATTGGATCCTGAGTAACGAATCACAGTGGCTTGCGAGTTCAGATGCGCCTCTCAATAATATTGCCCTACATATGCCCCGCCACTCCCAATTTCATACAGTCGCCGCCGCCGCTTTTATCTCCGATTCGCCATGGGTCAAGTTCTCGACAAATATGAAGGTAACCTCGCTTGCTTGCTTGCTACTCATGCGCTCCCTTCTTTCAGGAACTCTCCCATCTGATTATAGAATAGTGAACACTTAACCGCCCTACTTTCTTTCAATTTAATGTTTGAATCTTTTTTAATACCTCTTTTTAATATTTATGATTTGATTTCAGATTGCAATCTGAATCTTTTGTACTCCGTAGTTTTTTATGTTATTTGCTTTGAGTACATGTCTGGCCTAGAATGTTAGATGTAATACTTTTTAAATTGAAAGGAGTATTCTTTTTGAGTACTTCTTTTTAAGCTGATTTTATACTTCCAACTTTCACCTTTTGAAATATTACATTTCCGTTTGGTGTCATCCTTACAAGTCGCTCACAAGTTTTGCTCAACTTGTTGAATCTCCTGGGGGTGAGTTATAAAGAAATGATACGTCTTCAATGTTTTCGTTGTTATCATCTTAATCCTAGTTAATTGGGGTTGGTAGCATTATGTTTGATGTGTAAAATTACATAACACTGGGAATTCGTGCTAAACAAAGTGTCAATGATTTATGTAGGATGCCTTTACTACAGCAATCTTCTTTATAGAGAATAATGGCATCAAAATTTAAAACCATTATCGTCTTATATTATTTTTCACATTCATGAAATATACTAGTATCATACAAAGACGGTGAGTTGAGATTGTATTTGCTTTTGGCCTGTCCATTCGATGGTGTATATTTCAAACTGACCTGCAAATATCTGCTTTGGAAATGCATTTGGTCTTGCCACGCGCAACTGATTCTTATTGGTTCTGTACTATAGCTTCTTTTCAATCTTAATCATTTTTCATATACTCGAACATATGATGTTACCTTGCCCAAAACAAGTCACCCCAAAAAAATCTCTCCACTGCCAGCCAATCAATAATAATGAAGAATTGCTGGTGTAGCTTTTGTGTATGTGTGAACAGTTTTGGGTGAAAAAAAACACTGGCCTTACTCTAAGATCTAAAAGTCTTAATCATGATCCAGATGTGTGGCGTAATGTAGGCAAGGAGCTGAGAGTGAAACAGACACGACAGATAACTGACAAGGTGTACGATCGATTCAAAAATGAGTCAGACAAAGTGAATTTGAGTTTTGAAGATCTATATATTTCTGTGTTGCTTATATTCAAGTAAGATACTGTCATTGATTATTTCCAACTAATACATACACCTTAGCACTCTCACTTTTAACCCTTTCATTATTGACTATTGTGGTAATGATGTTTTTGACATCTTCTTTGATTTTTTTCTCACCAACATTCACACCTTTAGGTCCCTCACTTTTAACCCTCTCACTATTATGGAAATGGATACTTCTTCGGTTTTTCAACGATTGTGGCAGCAACACACTGACACTTTTATTTGTCCACCTGCTATGTCAAATTTTATGTATCACAGTCAAAATAGTTAGAATACAAGGCGCGAAAATTTCCAAAGGCACCGCCAAAAGTGTTTTTGTCATAATAGTCGGATGATAAAAAATGAAATAATCAAAGATGTGAATAAAAAATGTCATTCCCACAATAATAGAAGTCATAAAAGTGGGAAATTTCAAAGAATAACCAATACAGTTTTGTTATTTACAGTGATATAAACAAGCATTTGCCAGGACCTCACATAGACCCCCCTTCCAAAGAACAAGTTAGATCGTTGATGAAGGTATCCTCCCATTTCCTTCCAAATACATTGATGTTTATTTGAATTTTGGCACTGTGCACTCTCTATGTTGCTACATTAATTCGGCCTGAAATGGATACCCAAGTGATCAGGCTTGGATACATTATTAAATTGGACCTAAATCTTTCGTAGTGCTCCTAAAGAAGTGAGGGATCACATCTAGAAGTGATTAATCAGTTTGGTTCTAAATAGTCTGGTTATTCAACTAATACCACGGTATTGGGATCTCACCTGGAAATATGAAAGTGAATAAAATGACTTTATAGGATCTTGAATCGAACTAGATAATCAATTGGATTCAATCTTTTAGAATATGAAAGTGAATAACATGACTTTATAGGATCTTTTAGAATGTGTCTAAATTTTCTATGTTTTCTTCTTTTAATAAACAGAAATATGATTTCAACTTTGATGGGGAACTAAACCGTGAAGAGTTTATGGAATTCATTCTAGAACTGACTAAAGACACATTCTTTAGCATTAGTCAAAAGCTGGTGACTACATTGGCGATAGCACCGACTGTGGCTTTGCTCACAAAGAAGTCAACAGAGGGTGTACCTGTGATCGGGAAGGTGGTACAGAAGTTACCCAGTTCTGTTTATGCATCCCTTGTCACTCTCGCTATAGTTCTTTTTCAGAAATCAACTGAAGACAAATAACAAAAGAAAAGACTTCTTCTTTGCGTTGTAAATGAATTCTATTCTGCAGTTTATTTCAATAATACGCCCTGCAGACTTTGTTGGCTCTGGTTAACCGGCCTTTGTATGTCCATATATTCTTTGTAAATTATTGGAAGTTGAAACTTTTGTGTTTAAATTGATTTGGTATTTTAGTTTATTATCACGAGTCCTTGAAGAAGATACTCTGCAGTACAAGAAGCTTATTTAACTTGACCTTTTTATAATATGCCTAAAAAGTTAGCCCTAAAATGTAATGTGGAAAGCTAATAAAAAACAATACACTAAAACTCACGAAAAAGTCGTAACTTTTTGGCTAGTTAAAGAAAAATGCTTTGTTATTATTGATCTCTTGTTTCATACTACGTACATGATACATCATACATGTACAATAAGATTCTTGAAACCCATCGATGAATTTTATAAGCCTTTGAGGTTTATAGTGGCGTTGTGTAAAGAAGAAGAGAAGTTTTCAAGTGTAGATTAAGACATTTACCCTCACCATTCACCAATGAGATCAATATTGGAATAGGAAAAATTATCAAACAGTATGAAATAGCAAGTGTAGATTAAAACATTCACCCTCACCATTCACCGATGAGATCAATATTGGAATAGGAAAAATTATCAAACAGTATGAAATAGTCAAATAGGCCTGTGATGCCGTGTATAAGGAAATTGGTGACTTTGTCAGGTTTGAAGTTGGTGAGAAATGAGAAAAGTAAAAGTTGTGTGGTTGAGATTTGTGTAGAGGAGAGAAATGAGTAGAATCACAAATTAGTTGCTTTAATAGGAAAGTGACAATATTTTTTTGGACAACCAAAAAGAGAAAGTTGTCAAACTCCAATGGGACGGAGGGAGTAGAATATTATTGTACAATCACATTCAAAGATATCCAAGATTTTAAGAGAAAGTTGGTCGTCACATGGTAAAAGTAAAACTAGAGGGAGGCAGTTTGGATTACGGTTCGGTTTTTATCGATTTTGAGTTATTCGGTTTTAGAGATATTGTGCCACTAAAATCGTTTATGTTTCAGTTTGATTTCGTTTCGGTTTTGTTCAGTTTGAAGTTCAGATTACCAAAGTGAAAATGATTTGGTTCAATTCAGTTCGGTTTGATACACTATTTCATATATTTATTGGTTTATTTGATCTATACATCGAGGTTCTATTTTTTAGAAATAGAAAATAAAAATAGTAGTTCACTGCACCTCGTTGTATTTATTATTTAAGTAAAATGTGAAGGGAAATAAAAGATAGAAACAAAATAATAAAATATATTATAACTTAACATCTAATTTGTTTTACTGAGATTGATGACATGAAAATATTTAGCATTTTATCAAGCAATAGAAAAAAGAATCGCCTATCACAAAAAATTGAATTTATTGTTGATTCACATTTATTATATCACATAGAATACTCAAAGAAAACTATCTGAGTCCGCGGAAAAAATTCGCAAAATCCATATTTTTATTCAAATAAATCATGTAAAATATACATTGTACTCTTGTTTAACTGAAATTACTATGGTGTGTTATTGTCCGTCAAACATTTTTTCTTACACGGTATAAAATACGTAGTATTACAAATACAAGTATGTTAAACATTAGATAACTTTTTTATAGTAAAATTATGAAATGTGTAAAAGTTAAAATGATATATGCTAAACACGCACTTTTCAAATCTAAGTAATTTATTTATATCCTAAAGATGAAGAGTGATGACAAATACAAAGTATCATGCTTCTAAGTTCCTTCATATATCATCTAAAATCCAATGCTGGGATTCTCGGGCTAGTCCAAATGTATGAGTTTTAATAATACTCTTCGTTCCACTAAGATTGTTACATACTAAATTTAGTAAAATTTGTATTGTTCTAAATTATTCTTGCTTTATTCTTACTTTATCAATTCAATATCAACCACATAAATTCATTTTTCTTAATAATCATGTCACCTTCTAATGTCCCAATGTTAGTGGATGGAGGTAAAAATATATAAGGGATAAAATGTCATTATAATATTATTCATTACTAATATTTTTTTATTCATTACTAATATATTATTAAGTTTGTAATATGAATATAATACTACCTTCTCTACAAGAATCACATTTGACCAAAACTTAATCTTATGATTTGAAAATAATGCATAATTTATATAACTCATCATTTCTATTAACTTCATTTCTACCTATCAATGGTGCTCGTAGTGATGGCAGAAAGTTTATTGATGTATTTATTCACGGATTCGTCAGACTACATAAGTATTATATTTATTCGAGATGGTATACTCATAAGTTTATTTTGGAAGGAACTATTTCACTTGTAGGATACAATCTTGAAGACTAGCTCCGCAGCCTCCGCTTACCATTCAAAGACGAATGGGGCAACCAAAGTGAAAATAGAAATTGCTCTAAATAAGAGCAATTGTTAAGACTTGAGGTTCCCATAATAACGTTTTGACAAAAACGTTTTGAAATTCTAAAATAGGAGTATCATGTTTTTTATTCCCATAATAAGAGTAATCTGTCAAGTTTGCAAAAAAATGTCATGTTTTAAAGTCTAGTAATGCCAAACTTGGCAGAAATTTACTCATATTCAAGGAATAAAAAACATGATAATCTTATTTTGGAATTTCAAAACTTTTTTACTCCTATTTAGGAAATTCTTCCAAGTGAAACACTTAATAAGACGCTTAAAAAAAGTTGAGGCAATAATATTATACTATCATACTATGTATAGTATTGGTCTCATTGTATTAGGTTTCATTGATCCAAAAAAGATGGAATCTCCCACCCCAGGAGCCCCCCACCCCGGCCCAACAGGATGGTGGACAGGTTAGTCACGGTGACTCAGTCAGCAGAATGGCAGTAGGCTCATACACTCGTGCGCACCAGAGGCTCAGCCTTATTTCAGGTTCTGTGACCTCCACCCGGTCGCTGCGAGGATTCGAAATTTGGTCTATTGATCCAAATCTCTCACAACTCGACCAACTGAGTTACCCGTGCGAGGTTTCATTGAAGTTTGATTTGATTTGACCCGATTAAATGTACTCATGTCTAAATTTATGTGATGTGTGCTTTGATGAACATAGATTTGATCCAAGGGAATTTTTCAGGAATAGACTAAAATTGAGAATAATTTCACTTTTTTCATTTTTTAAAACTTTTTTCAAAAATAGACCATCTACGCATCTCTTTTCACAAATAGACTACTTATATAAAACCCACATACGGAAGCTCAACTCTTCATAGCGCCTAATGCACGTGTACTATACCTTTTAACTCATAACGAGCTTTGAATAGAAAAATTGTATAAGTTCAAACGGATTCTTGAATGCATCATTTTTTTATGAGTTAAATGCATCAGTTATTCATATTTGTTTTTGGTTTAAATAGAAAAAATGTATAAATTCTTCTTTAATTAATAAGATTATATTAATTAGAAAAAAGTAAAATCTAAAACCCAAAATTATTTTTAAAACTAACGACTAAACAAAATGTCAATAATAAAAATTCGAAATATTCATAAAAAATAGAAAAGAAAAATGTAAAAAGTTTGAAGTAGTTAAAATGTGGGAAAACTGTAAAAGAAATGGAATACAATTTTTGTGAGGTAATTTTTCAAATAGATGGTAATTTATGTAAAACTATAAACTATGAAAATTTTAAGAAAATTCGAATATTAAATAATTTTTTAAAAATACTTTGAAACCCTAAGACCTAAAAGATACAGAAAAATGTAAAATAAGGTAAAATATATATTAAAACATATGAAGAAGTAATTATAAATTTTAATTAGATAGTGAACAAATAAAAATAGAATATATTAAAATTAAATAAATCAATCAAATTCTCATAACTATATAAATATGAAACTATTCAAAAATACAAATTAAATTTCATAAAGTAGAGCGAAAATAGAAAATACAAATCATAAAGCGTAAAATAAAACAGAAAATTTATTTAAGCTATAAGGGTTGAATTGTTTTAAAAAGTTGATAAAAACAAGAATATGAAAATTAAAATGTCTAACATGTAAAAAACTGCAAAATTAAGAGAAAAATAAAAATATGAATTATATAATTAAAAAATGCAAAAGTTAAAAAATTAAAAGTACAAATTTTGTAATATTTCTTAAAATAGTTAAAAAATTACTAATCCGTATGTATTACTACTACTATGTATTATTATTATTCATTATTATTATTATTATTATTATTACTTTCAACTTATTTTTATTTTTGTAGCATATTGTTTTTTGTGTTTCTTTTTGTTGATAATTTTGATTTTTTTTACTGTTTCTTCATGTTTCTTCTTGTTGGTGATAATTATAAATAATCCAAATTTATCATGTTAGGCGTTTGTATATATAATTTTTCTTGCAAACATATAAATAGACATATATTTTGTATGTTTTTTATTTCAAAGAAGTACCAAGGATGAATAAATACCTAAAGGAGACCATAAAATTTAATTTCAACAAAAATAACCATAAGCAATACGATGCAACAAAAAACAACATGAGTCAACAAAAAACAACACAATGCAACAATAAGCAACAAGTAAGACGAAACAAAAGGAAACAAAAAATAACCTACAAGAGTATCACAACAAATATATAGTTCAAGCTATTGTTTGAGTTTATTACATATGTATCAGACTACTTCATTATTTGGCTTTCTTCTTTTCATTTCTTCTTCTTTATGTGTACCTCGATCAACACTTAGTTGATCGGATTGGACTATTGTCTTTATTCTCCTCGATGAAACTCACAGTCTTATTATCATCATCTTCATGTACTTTTTCATGTATACACCTGCTATGAGAATAAAATCACTATGACACGATTCAATAATTGATTATTACAAGGAATCAAATAGTGATTATTCAAAGAAGTGCACCAGACAGGTTGATTGAGGCTAAAACTATCTGAGCTCAAACAACAATTCCGTGAACAATGAAAACGGTGCATGATGAAAAATTGGGGACATGAAAAAAATATCACCAGATAGACAGGTGCATATATAATTGATATACGGTTGAGATGTACAATACAAGTCATTGAAAATTACCATAATTGAATATTACAAACACGCAATCATGCATCAACAAAGATCTTGAGATCTAGAAATAAACACACATAACCAAATGTGACACAGCAAAAGGAGCGGAGAAACCGAATAACGACACGAAGAAGCTCTATCAATGGAAAATTATAGCACTGGGGTTGATGCAGGAAATAAATTGGATTTAATAGACTCTGATATTCTTGTCTAAAATATAGAATTGTATTGTACTTTGAAATGACATAACTGTATGTTAGTTATTTGTACTTAAATCCTATAATGATATAACATATAACTGCAACAAATGTAGCAATGAAATAAAGCTATGAGTCTATCATTTATGTGCATGTATTATAGCTGAAATTATGAGTCTATAAGGAATATTGCCAATACAATTCATCAACACTGCAATCCAAGAAATAATGAGATGCCAAAAATACTAAAATAAGAGCAGAACTTTCAAAACTAAGGAAACACCATGCTTAATAATTAATTAATAGAAGAATGAAGAAAATTGGAAGGTTAACTCACCCAAGAAGCAGCAGAACAACATTGTTCATTGAAGTTTATTCCGAAGTACCAATACTTCAATTTGACTAAGGTTAACTAAAGAATCAGGTGATGAATATTAAAAAATCAGTGGGGCACCAATCACAATGACAAGATGTTCCTCCTAGAACATTAAACAAACATAATGAATTGAAGCAGGTAATGAATATTAGAAAATTAGTGTGGATCAGAATCAATCATAAATTTAATTGAGGAGCCATATAATTTTCTATATGCCTTTGTCTTCCTTCAATTTTAATCCACGGTTCTCCATGACATAATTTAAGGTTTTACTGAAATAACATCTTATCATACAGTGAAGGAATATTTGTAATTGTGATGTGGAACTGTATCAAACCAGAAAGAAATACGTTAAGAAATTGAGGATACTGTGTTGATAGGATTGAATTAGGAGTCTTCATCTGCAAATAGCACTCCGTAGTCTGTAGAAAGAAAATAAATTAAGCAATCCATATATAGCTCGATTCTATGAAGCTAGATTTTTAATAGAAGAAACCGGCGGTTAGTGCGACGAAATCCATACATAGTTCCATCCTGGCCACCAAATTGATCGCTTGGCCGCCTAACGATGTCGAAACGATGAATCTGAACACAACTCTGTCGTGATGTTTAATCCCCACCATAGGATCTCTCCCGGTGTTTTTCATCCACCCGACCACCCGGCGATGAGAAGTGTCGATCGAAAATCTCCTGCGTCTCTCTCCCGATATTAGTCTACTTACGGAGAGGTGGCAAGATAGTCTAAAAGTGAAATATAAAACCAAAACTGAAAATCAAAGAGTTAAAAATGAAAAGAAAGAATAATTGGGTTAAAATTGATATGCTACACCCAAAAATGGACCGTGCGGGTAATTTGCACTTGATCCAATAGTGTCACTGTTACGGCATGTTGACTGAAGAATCGGTTTTGATTATGTTTAAATTATTTAGTTTTAACCCGATCTGATTAAATTTAGTTGGGCTCATTTGAGGGTGAAATAAATCCATATGAAAATTTACAACCCTTTTGATAACCAGCGAATTTAACGATGTTACTTTTCATTTTTAAATAAACATCAAAGCATAATTAATACTTGCATATAAATACAATTTTTGGAAGCAAACAAAGAAAAAAGAAAAGTTAAAAAGAGAGGAAAATACGTCAAGTTGGTATCGTCAAGTGTTTGAATTGAATCTCGATCATCGTGGTTACTTGCGATTGAAGTTACAATCTATCGATTGATACATTTTTGTGTGTTCAAAAAAGATCGAATTGAAGAAGAAATTAGGATTAGAGAGCATATGGAGGGAAGGGAAAGCGACGTTAGGGTTCCGTTGATATCAGGATTGTTCTGTGTCCTCCTCATCACCGGCGGGGTCTTCCTCGCCCTCCACGTTTTCGTGCCACGCGTTTCACGGCCATGGTTCCAGACGGTGGCGTTGGTCCTCATTGCATCTCCCTGGATGTTTTGGTCGGTCACCTTCCTCTACGTCTGCGCCAAACGCTGTTACCGGTGGAGCTGGGCCGCCTACATATCTAGACGGCCGGTCTCGAGGAGTGAATTGTCGCCGGCTGCCACCGCCAATGATGGCTGTGGGAAACCAGCCACTCACGCGGATGAAATATCCGTCGCGTATTCAGGGGAATCCGAGAAACCTTTGACCGGCCCGAAGACCTAGCAATTCAATCAGCGTAGGCAATTACAGTCAACATGAAATTAGGTATATACCTGTTTCTTCCATCTCCTTCAATTGTTCGTTTTTGAGTTGAGGTTTGAAGGGGATCTTCATTCTTTATACGCATATAGATATTAGAGAGTATATATTGTAACGAGATTGAACTGACCCTTTGGTGATGAATGAATGATACGGTGAAATGCATGTTCTATAGTACAAGGCATAATCACAGTATAAATTCGAAATCTCATTTATTTACTAATAAAAGTAAACCTGCAAATCATTTGAGATAGAACATTACAGAGCGTTTCATTTCAATCTTAGCTTTTTGGTCCCAGTGAATGGGCTAGCACCTTATTACTTCCATTTGGCACAATCAGTAGGCATGAAGGATACAACCATCTTCTCCAAATCATATTCCACCAAGAAATTTGTGTGCGCCACATTCCCAAAAACAGGGACACCCTTAGTAGGGGCAAAGGCCAGACACCCAATTCCATCCCCAACGTTCACAAAACTGTTAACTGGATTCAACTTCAGATCACCACCGCCTTCAAACCGGGCCGTTAGTACCGGAACATCCTCAGGTCGCAAACCTTGGTAACACAACCTCAGGAACCTCCTCTTGGGGTCTGGCTTCATAGGTTCCTGCCCTATGGAGCTCTTCACCGTTTCTTCCAGACCAAAATATAAATCCGTTGGCAGGAAGCTAAATGTCGTCCCTGAATCGATGTAAATGTTGCCTCTGTGCTGCTGATGATTACCGCCTGTTGGTGGTACCACAGTTTGGTTTCCGACTGAAATGCCTAGTAAAGTCAGGTAATAGAAAATCCTCGGAGGTTTCAAAATGAGCGGGGTGGAAACCACCTCGGGCAGGCCACGAACCACTGTGGCGGGATGGCTTCCGAATTGCAACTTACTCGACACGTTCAAATGTGACAAGGGAACCAAACAGTATGAAAATCGGTTGCCACCAATTTGATTAATAAGTGAATAGCGAGATGAGCCGAGGCCAACAATCCCGGATATGCGGGTATCATTATCCGTGAAGTGATTCGTGTGGCCGCACCCAAAAATGATATCTGGGAAGGACACGTTTTGTCGTCTTCCTGTGAGGTCTCCGGTTTGGAAGTTGAACATCTCGGTAGCCAAGTCTAATGTAAGTGTGTCCATTGCAACTTCACCTTCACTAAATGTCCCATCGTTGTACCTATCGAGTGAATTTGAATGAACGTAAAGAAGAGCATATAGTATTCGTTCTACATAATTGATCAACACAATATTTATATGAAGAAGGTTGAGGTTCTGATAATATGATTAGGAGAGCCTATTGGAAGAAACAAATAGATCGACTAAAGTTTTTTCCGGTTCAACTGCAATAAACTAATTAAAGTTTGCGAATAGAATTAATTATATAAGTCATCTTTATCTATATACGTAGTATATAAAACTAATATGATTAGAAACCTGATACGTAGTATGAAACAATCTTCCTGCCCACACAAAGTGATATAATTCAAGTCTTTATTAAAGTTGCCATTTTATGATTGAATAATACTACCTCCGTCCCATAAAATTCTTCTCACTTTGAATAAAGTGGAATAAAGTGGAAATGTATGGTTGTGGTTGTGTAAGAAAAATGTGAAATGAATGTGAACACACAAATTGTCCAAAAATGGTAAGTGGAAAGAATTTTTTGGGACGGAGGGGGAGTAATGATTTGTGTGCGTGCAAGTATCCATTTATAAGCACCACTCACAGTGCATACAATGTAGTGGTAATTAGTACTCCGTATGTTTTCAAAAAGAAATTTCCAATTGTAAATCACATACGGAGTATTATATAATGAAAATAGAAATATTAAATATAAATCGTAAGAACTAGCCACACGTTTGGTTCGACAATATATAACTATATTTTTAAATCATGTATGTTATTTATAAATGAATATTTAAATATCGATTACAGATATAAAAAAATTACATTGAAGTTTTTTCCGCATAATACAATAGCTTGATAGTTATCATTTAGCATTTCCACATAAAAACTAAGAAGATTACGATAATCATATTTCTTAAAAAGGCCCATGATGTTTTTATATTTATCATATTTAATTGTTATGAACAATATGATGAGTTAAAAAATGGTGCCCAATAAATAATAGTGTCATGTCAAAAAGCCTAATCTAAGGTTAGTAGTAATTCAGCATATTTGACGCTGTCTAAAACATAATACGTGAAATAATAATGCGGTTTTAGAAATATTGTACTCCGTATAACTTAGTTTTCATTATTATTTTAATATGTATTGCACCATTACTCTAAGACAAAATTCCCGTGAAATGCACGGATAATTCGTCTAGTACGATCGATAGTATTCGTATTAAACGAATAAAATCATTTATATGTGTAGAAATAAGTAGGAAATGAAAGAATTGAAAAGTATTTATACTTTATATTATTTAAAAAACTGTAAGGAGCATCTACAAATTAAATACTTCACTCGCGCGTCTGTAGCGCAACGGTCAACCTTTCACGTTAATTTGTTGCACAAATTTGACCTTAATATACGACATTTGTTGCACAACTTTGACCTTAATATACGGAGTAAATAATTATTTATTAGTAAAAAAATTAAAAAATGGATTTTTAAAGATTTAATAAAATTTTATTAAAAAATTATTAATATATTAATAAATAAAGCATAATCAAAGTAGAAAATAGCGTGTTACACCTATTTAAGAACGAAGGAATTACTTGTCACCTGGCAGAGTAGAGGCATGTGTTATTCGCCCGGGCACACCGGCTACCGGGCAGGCCGGAGCATTCCTGGGACTGACAGTGCACGGGTTTGTAAGTTACCGAAGCGTTGGGATTAAAACTAGGAGATTCATTGTGATGATCGCCGGAACAGTGAATGTGGCCACAAGGGTGCTGGCATTGCAACCATATCATATCGCTGCCGGTGTCTGCAACGGCCAGCTTGACGGCGGGCGTGGCTCCCACAGATAGTCTGACGAGATACATGCCCGCCTTAGGATCTGGGAGAACTCTAATCGAAGAGTCCTCCGCCTGAAGGCGGCGGGCTATTGAGTTCTTAAACGCGGTGTGAATGCGATGCCATTGAGAAAGACGAGGGTCGTAGAGAGGTGAAGATGGAGAGTCTCTGTGCAGGAGCTCAACCGTAAAAGTTGCCACACCATTCTGATTTCTTTCTTGAGTTGCACAATTGAGTATGATTAGAGTGCCAAAAAGGGAGACGAAAATGGCGAGTAGATTCTCCTTATTCAGATCAGTAGCCATGAAGTGCGCTAGCGTGGGGATGATTGAATTGATTCAAATGGCGTTATTGTTGACTGTGTGTCACATTCTTTGTTGTATAGGGATTATCTGCGTGTACTGTTGTCATAATTCATAAACAAGTCAGGCGTTTTGCCGGATTCACTAATATTACTCCATAGCAGATTACGTATGTATTTAATTGCAATTAAATAAAAGTGGGGCCTTAAAGAGTTTTAATTACTTCTTTTGATTCAAGTATTGGAATTTGGGAGTCCAGAAAAAATTAGTTGTACAAATATTTTACCCCCAAAATAATAATAATGTCTTAGTTGTAAAAAGCCCTATTTTGGAGTATATTATTAATAGTTCCGACGAAAATACTTAATTAAAACTTGGGATGTTCTTAAGTAAACTCGTGTTGGTCTGAGAGTAGACCAAATTTAAACATGTCAAATAAGTTCAGATCAAATTTTGATAATTGTAAAATACACATAGAATATATACTACGTATCAGACCAGACCACACTTAACATATCGACCTGACTAAACTAGATCATACTAAATTATTTATATAATCACTTCCATTCCATTTTAATTTAGCATTTCCTTTCATTTTTTCTCTCTCAATAGTGTATAACTCTACAAGTTACACACACATATATCAAATTTGATCAATAACTCTACACAACTAATTTTTATCTCAACCAGGTACATATTAAATATTAAACTCAAATCTTGTTTAAAAACGATCTACTCATTTAATCATTTAATCATTTTTATCCCATCAGACATTTTTGTGGCTAGTGAGAGGCATTTACTCTAATATAAAAATATGATCACTTACATACCCAATATAACACATTGCTTGCATATCTCTTTGGTTTCTTCATAGATAATACAAAAACAAATACTTAAGACAAATATAGGATAAAGAAGATGACAAATTTGCAACGTCTGAGCGCGGTGATACGACAAGGGAAGCAATGACGGTGGCGACACTATTTCTCAATGACGATGGTGGCACAGTTGCTCAACAGCGGTGGCGACAGTCTGAAATGGCGATCGAGCTGGTCCATTTAGTTTGCTTCCGTTCACAGGTCTCTTTGGTCCGCAAGTTAGCCGTAGGGTATCATGTCTCTTTTTTGTCCTTCCCAAAAATGATCTTATTTTTGTCCACTTAAAGCTCTCAACTCTTATTTTTGTCATTTTTTCTATTAACTTATACTACCTCCGTCCCAAATTACTTAGCCAAACTTGACTTTTCAAATCAACGGCCTCTAACTTTGACCAATTATTTAAGCTAATATATTTATGCAAAATTTAATAAATTTATACTTTTATAATAGTGTTTTTAACAAAGAACATTTTCATTTCATTTTCATATTATCAATACTTTCTCTATATAAACATATAGTCGGTCAAAGTTAGACGTTGTTGACTTGAAAAGTCAAGTTTGGCTGAGTAAATTGGGATGGAGGGAGTATTTACTCACGGTTGATTAACCCATTATCTTCGACTCAAAGGCGCGACAGTCTAACCACAACAACAAACTTTTTTCCGTAGGATCCATCCGGTCAACTCCAATATTCTTTCTGACTTAGGAAGTTTTTGGAGACGGTTAATCCCGCCATAAGATGGTTATTATTCTATTTACAATCCGAATATTATCTTCAACCAATAAACCCCCACGCTTGTCTTCTTCCATGCTTGATCTCTAGCTAATACAGAGCACTTAACAGAATCCACACCTTCCACTGATAAAGAAGTTACAGAGCTTCACAGTTACATTTTCTTGAACATCATCGCGTTCGCTCTCCCACTTTTTGCCTCCTCGTCACATGGGCCGCCTCCACTGCCGCGCCACTGTCTCAGCCGCCGTCCTCTGTCCAGACAGTCGCAGAAGTTCTACGTGCACGGGGCTACTCCCTGGTTGCTTCCACCCTCTTTGTCATTACAGCCAGTAACGCCAACTTCTCTAGCACCATTTTGGCCCCGCCGAACTTCGCATTCTCCTTCGCTATCTCCAAGTTTGTCACTCCCAACCGCCGAGTGCCTCATCGCCCCTCTATGACCATCCTACTCTACCACACTCTCTAGCCGCCACTCCAGTGGCAAAATCTCTCGTCGCTGACGGACGGAAACCAGCTCCCAACGCTCTTCAACAGCAATTGCCTCTTCCTCAAGAACTCAAATGGGGATGTCTCAATTTCGGCGTCCAAGAAGCCACTTACGGCGGTCAGAATTAGACAGCCTGATATGTACGCAGATGATCGCGTCGTCGTACATGGGATCGACGATATACTGGACCCGACGTCGGCGACGAAGTGCTCTTTCTCGGAGGATCATACGCCGGCAGCTCATCAGCCACCGCGTGTGGCCCGGAAGTTTCTCGATCACGCAGTTAGAGCTATCAGGAGAAGGGGATTCACCGTCGTCGCTGCAGCCATATCGATCAAACGATCAGAGATGTTGCGATTGGGAACAGCTTCGTTGTTCGCGTCGTCCGATCGGGTACTTTTCTCGAAACATGGAGGATTCGGTTTCAATTTCCGGAGCCATGTTCTGCCACAACGGCATCGCTTTGATGATCTCGCAAGATATCCGCCCAAAATCACGACTTTCCAAACTCTGGCCGCGAACAGGGCATTGACTTTGGATTCCGTCGATGGTGTGGTGACGGTGAACGGCGTTCGCGTCAACAGCACGGAGGTGTATCAGAACCGGTGGATCGTAGTGTTTTCTATTTCTGAATCCTTAGATGCGCCATTTGCCTGTGGCGGCGGCGGCGGGGTTCAATATCTGACTCCAATCCAACCATCACTTCATCCACCGGCGAATGATGAGTTTCCAAGAGTCGAACCGCCGTCGCCAATCCCGCCGAGATCATCTCAGAGTCGGGTGTCGGATTTCGGGGCTGAGATCGAAGGCGGAGATCTCATGTGCCCTGTTGCCGCCGGCAGGACCTTGCTTGAGGAAAATGAATCCGCTCATGAAGGCGTGGGACGATCCAGCCCGTCCGATGACGGTAAACTTCTCAAAGTTGTGAGTCTTGTGACTCAAGCTCCACCGTACGCTTCACATACGGATGACCACAGTAGCGGTCAACATTCCGTTGACAGTGACAGAGAAGGAGGTAAGGATTTAATGAGTGCACCTTCACTGAAACATCACGTGAACATCGCTGGTGATTTGTTCTTCTATTCCTAGCCAGGGGCGACCCATTCCCATTTCCCACATATGTAGTGATTACACTGATTACTAAGACATGTTGGGCTTCCTAATTTGTAGTATACTGTTAGGCATAATCAAAATATGCAACACTAATGATAATCGCTTAAAACATTGTTGCCCAATGACCCCACAGACACAAAACGAAAAAGAATATTAATTCCCTTAAAAGTGTTTAAAGAGTAGGTTAGATAAAGGCTGGTTAACTAATACAGAGTATTGCCCAAAAAAATAAAAAGAATAAGAAAAAACTGAAAGAGGACAAATTGATTTCATTTGTATCTTTTTCCTCTATTCTCTTCCCGGGCTCATGAGTCGTCATCAACACCTTGCTCGCGAGCAATGGAAGCAGAGAGAATGGAGAGGTCGCGGTTAAGAAGAGTCAAGGCAGTTTCACATTCTGAGATTATCCTGGTGACAGAAGATGGCTCTCCCCCAACTGTTTCTGTCGATGACCCCACCGCCACTGCTGCATGAGAGTCCCTTAGGTTCTTCAGGTTACCTAGGAACTGTAAAACAAATTATAGTGACAGAAATCAAAATCGCCCCTACATTTCCTCTCTTAAAACCCAAAGCTAAATAAAGTGTTTCAAAATAAATGGAAAATGAGAAAGCTTTACCTGGGTGATCATCTTAAACAGTCAATTCATTATCATCATTACCCCAGTGACGCAAAGGCTCCCCACCTACGGTGGGGTAGAGGGGATTGGATGTACGCAGTCTTACCTCTGTACTAAAGCACAAAGAGAACGTTTCCGAATGACCCGTAGTGAAAATCGCGTCGAAAGTTGGACAAATAAAAAATATCATAGACCCAATGTTCAGGAGAGTGTACACCATGTGAGTTTGCCCAGCGACCACAACAAATCATTGGTATACAATGAAAGGTTTATAAAAAAATCAAGGGACGATTTGCCAATAGGGGTTGGAGGGTCTTAAAGGGAAAGGACATGGAGAGCTCAGTCATATCTTTATCTAATAATGTGTTTTCAAAAGGTGGTTGAAATCTTATGTGATCAGTTATATAAGCATGTACTACCTCCGTCCCTTAAAACTTTGTCATATTTGACCGGCACGGAGATTAATAAAGTAAAAATTGTGTGGTAGAGGTTTATGCAGATGAGAGAGAATTAACTGGAACCACAAATTCTTTACTTAAAAGAGAAGGTGTCAAAGTTAGTGGGACAACCAAAAAATGAAAGTTGGCAATGTTTTAAGGGACGGAGGGAGTACATAATAATGTGTTTTCAAATGGTATATAAGCATATCTTCACTTTATGTGTGTAGTACTGTGTACATATATACTTATAGCAAGGTATAGACTTTGCCCTTCATAGCCGTCCATTCCAAAACACTGCATCCAAGCACCCTAAGGGACCTAAGGGAGACTCCAACTTGAAACCGCATGACCTATTAAATAAATTTATTTGGAATTTTTAGGTTCTCACTTTCCTTTTCTGGACGTCCCATATAAAGGTTCCCATTTCTATTTTAGAAAACAATTAGCACTCTTAAATGACAATTTGATGATCAAATATTAAAAATAATATATCTATAACATCACAGTTATCACCATTAACCCCATTATATTATATACCTATCAAAACTATTTCTCAAAATATACTTGAATTACCTTAATAAATTATTGTCTTAATAATCATGCCGTTTTGCAATGGGAACCTTTGAACGGGACAGAGGTAGTAATGAACAACAAATTAGACGCAAAGAATGTCCGTGGAAATATACCTTCCAAAGCATCTTATATGCTTCCAGCAATCTATTGGCTGCTGGCCCAAATCCATGCAATTGTGGTACCTCCATCATGTGTGTCCAGGGATGTATTTCCTATTAACGTAAATAGTAATAAGAATAGGAAGTATGATTGCAAATTATTATAACTATCATTAGCAATTATAATTGCTAATGATAAAAGGTGGCCGGAGCAAGAGTACAAAATATTTGTAGTATACTTGAAAGCTGACCTTGTTATAAATTGTATTGAAGGGTCTAGCAGTTTCTAGGAAGGTTTCTAAATGGGCCCGCAATATTGCTTCAACCTCCACGTACTCCTCATCCGGGTTATATGGATGCTGTAAATTAGAAACTTACACAGCATGAATGAAATTTCAATGATCTAAGAAACTATATCTCAATGGAAGTGAAGTGAATGCCAACAGAAGCAGAACTATGATTTACAACAATCTAAAAGGCAGATTAACCTTTGATGCTAAATCATCAACCTTCTCCTGAATACTAACAAGTCTGTTAGATTGATCTGCGAGTTGCTTCTCCAAATCGCCAATTTCAGGCCTGCAAGTGAACTTGGATTGGAATAAATAGACAGGTGTTACAAAAATAAACCATTTCAAGCTAGAAACATAGAAATAGTCCCATTATTAAGCATCTTATGTATAATGGTATTTCTGCTCCTTAAGGTTTTTTTGGATGAAAGGTTTTGGAGTGGTTTGGTGGGTAACACTTTAAGTGGCTTAGTCTATATCTTGATATAAATTTGAGACTATAAAATTTGAAATCATTAACAGAAATATATGTGGTCATATATGATATATCATCACTATCGCCTTTTAATCATTTTGAGAAACATTTTGTTTATCAAAATATAAACTGAGGATGTATTCTCATTAAGAGTTGGGATGTTGTTTTCTCTCTCACACACACACCTTATGCAACTGTATCTTAAGAAACATATGGCTGGAGCAGAAGTACGAGGGGCCAAGTAAACATGAAAAGGTACAACACTTTAATGCGCAACAGCAACAATAATAATAGTAACAACAATAGCATTAACAATAACAATCAATAATATTGTTTCATACAACGGATATATGGATTGGATCTGAAGGAAACAACTTGCACTCTTCAGAAAAGATTTGCACTTGTTTTTCGGATATGGCATCAATTAGCTGAATGTCCTTACTTACCTGTTCATCAATACTGCATGGCAAGAAAAACGAAAATAAATCAATAAATAGCTGACAATATATATAAAAGTCACTCCATGATTTCCCTTGAGAGATGGAAGAAGTGTTGTCATCTTGTAGTTGTACCTTCTGCGAGTTCTGCCTTGCATTTGCACCTTCATTACTCTCTGTTTGGTTTCACTTAGTACATAATATGATGCTACCTTCAAGTAATTTATCTCATTATATGTAATTAATAGTCTTTTGGGACTAAAGCTTGGATGTTGTTGTATATGTAATTAATAGTCACATGTCGATTCATGTTAGCCGACCCCAAAATCTTTTGGGGTTAAGGCTTGGATGTTGTTGTATATGTAATTAATCGTGCACTCCAGACCAACGTTTGCAATTGCGCAATGCCATAGCGCCTTATGGCGCGCCTCGCCTATTTCCAGGTGCATAGCGTAAAATTGCATTGCATATGGCGGACATGGTTAAAGCGTACGTTATGTGCGTAAAGGCGTACACAATAAAACCTACGCAATGAGGCGTGCTAAGGCGTACCCTAAATTTGGTCTGGTGTGTAAGGTTTTTTTGGGCCCACGGAGCCCACTTTTTAAAAAAACACATATCCGGTTCAGGGTATATACCATAAAAGGTGATATTATCTTCATATTATGCGCAACTCTCTGTGCAATAACCTTTTCTTCCCTGCACCTTCTTTTTACTTGGCTACTTAGCTTCTTCAACCTTCATCTTTCAGACACTCCTCTTCTACGGTACTGCTTCTATGTTTGATACTTATGTTTTGTACTTTTTTTTCTATTGAATTTAATACTTAATATTATTGTTAATTTTCTGTTAATATTCTTCAACTTTTAACATTTTCGGCTAATTGATATATATACACGCCTCATTGCGCAATGAGGCTTACGCAATATGCAATTCCAAAAATTTGCCATGACGATGCAATACGCAATTTCGAACCTTGCTCCAGACACACTTTATTGGGCACGCTTGATTGATCTACAAACTCTAAACATTGGGTCAAGGTATAGAATCAGCTTCCAAATCTAAAGAGTCTAATCAATACTAACTTTATGTTAAATCCTAACCTCCATTTAGGATTATCAGCATACAAACTTGCCTCCACAAGATCAACAATCAGGCGCAGCATTTCAGTACGATCTTCATAGCTCCCTCGCCCCTGCAACCAGTATATCAGCAAGGAAAGAACAAAGTTCCTGATAACCGAATGGAAATGAAACTTACAAAAACTCACCTTAAACCTAAACCAATAAAATAAATTTATTAAGAGAAATTTCCCGAAATAGGAGTAAAAACAATGGGGAATTTTAAAAATAGGAGTACTATGATTTTCCATAAATAGGAGTACTACGGTTTTCCATAAATAGGAGTACATTACTGTCATCTTGAAATATGCTGCCATATTTTGGCATTACCTAGCACTAATATGGCAGTCTTAATGGCATAAATGGCAGTATTTTGCAAGCATGACAATACTTACTCCTATTTAGAAAATAAAAACATAGTAGTCCTATTTTGAAATTTCACATTGTTTTACTCCCATTTAGGGCAATTTCTTATTTACTAAAGATGTTGATGAGTTTCTTGAGGATAATTTTCTTAGCAATTAATAAGTTCAATAATAAAAATTTTAGGTGAAGTAGGGTTATTTTTGTACTAATCTCCGTTTCAATTTCCAAAAACACCTCAAAAGCTTCCCAGACTCTCCATACTCCTCCATACAGAATACAATGAACTTAAAGAGAAAAGCAGCACCAGAGCTATGACGTTCTCTACTTTGTGGCATAGGATGGCTGGAAAAATGATAAAAATGTTAAAAAAATTATAGGAAAAGGAAAAAAAATTGAACTCACTTGTATGGCATCTGTGTCCACGGTAGTAGTTATACCCATGAACTTTGCAATCTCTGCCAAATCTGAGATAGCACAAACCATTTATGTGAATCAAAGTCATAATCTCATATATGACAATATGGCATGATACTAAAATAACAAAACAATTGTGTGATTGTGTCCATATGAATTTAGCTTTCAAAAATCTGCAAGGGATTTTTGGAAAGCTGTTGCCGAAAGCTAAACCCAAACACACCCATTAACATTTAGGTCTTAATCTACTTCATATGGAATCTGTATCCGAAAAATAAAACAAGAAAATGAAACAAAGGATCAAAAACTTTGAAAAATTACAAAAGAGTTCCGCATTTTTCAACTGTATTTTCTCTTAACCGTGCAGGTTTATGTGGTGAGCTTTCAGGCTTAAAATAGAAATTTCAGTTGTACTGCACTTCAGTGGTCTAACTTATCTCCCATTAGGACTAGTGAAGTTAATTGATAAAGACAGCACACTTTCACCCAATTTCGTATTGGAGATTAGAGGTCTCATCTTTAGCGAACACTAAATCATTGCTTGATATGAAGAAGAAAGCATTATCTAATACGAAGAAGAAAAGGTTAAATATGGGCAGGAAAAATACATTGAATGCGAGAGGTCTCCTCATCCCCTTGTAAATTCTGCTGTGAGAATGGGTCGCCCAGCAGCCTGCATCAACCTGAATATGCTATAATAGAGAAAGACTTGATACACATTGAAATTAATTAAAATTAGATTCAACCATTTTTAATACACATTGAAATTAATTAAAATTAATTATAATTGAAAACTTTTACCTAACAAAATCATTAAATCAACAAATTATAACACCAACACTCATTTGAACCAACATTCAATAGATAACAATCAACGATTAAGAATATGAAATGAACATTTATGATTTATTAACACTCAACAACCATTAAATCAAGGGAAAAGAGGCAAAAACACCCCTCAAGTTGTCACCGAGAGAGATCTATGCCCATAAACTTATTTTTTGAGCAAAAATCTTGATCTAACCTGAAAAGAGGACAAAACCCCCCTTCACCTAACGGCACAACTTAATGGAATATATATGCAACTGTTAATTTGTTCAGTTGGCTATTATACATGTTGTATTTACAACAAATTGTAGTATGACAAATACTAGTGTGTTCGTATATTTGATATTATTTTTTCTAAAATTCGGCTTGTGCTATACTAAAGAAAAATTTGGAAGATTTTGGTCCTGAAATTATCACATGTGCTTGATATGATATGATATGTGTTACTCTTAGGATTGCCTCATTTTTTCTTTTCGGAAAATCCTACTAAAATAGTCTCATATCAAATTTGATAAAGTTTGTTTGACTCTAAACCATTTTTACTTTATTCTTATTTTATCAATTCAACATTAAGGTCAAAGGAAGTACTCGTAAAAAATAATTTCACTAGTGTAAGTCTCAGCTATTTTTTATTAAAAAAATCATTAACAAATACACGACATTTACTCCTTCCGTCTCGAAAAGGTTCGTCAAATTGATTTTTCTTGGTTATTGACAATCCAATTTCACCAATAATATTCTTAATACAAAATTATTTAAAATATGAAAATTATATCAAAAGGTTTCTTATTCAAAATATTTTCGTAAAAGTATAAAATTTATAAGTTATAAACAAATAGAATAATTAAAATCATTGTCCAAAGTTTGTCATCATTAACAAAAAAAAGTCAATATGACGAACTCTTTCGGGACGGAGGTAGTATGATTTAATACAATGAGAAAAAATAATTTTAATTTTATAATTTTGGCGGGACAGTCCGATGGTGGCGATGGCGGCATATACTTATTTTAATTATTGTTTTTGTATATAATTTATAATTTTTATACTTTTATGAAATATTTTTTATAAGGAACATTTGAATATAATTTTTATATTCAAAATAATTTCATTTGAAAAAAATTATTGGTCAAATCTGGCTACTATTGATAAAAAAACAATTTGGTGAACTTTTCTGGGACGGAGATAGTATTTAATAGTGCTTGATATTTTACAATATTGAGTGCCGATTAGCTAATAAATACTCCTTCCGTCCCATTAGAAGCTTCCTACTTTCATTTTTTGGACGTCCCGTTAGAAGGTTCTCATTTCCATTTTAGGAAATAATTAACAATCTTAACTGACAAATTAATCATTAAATATTAAAAATAATATATTTATAACATCACGGTTATCAATACTAAGAGCATCTCCAATGTTACAATGTACAAAGTGCACATGTAGCATGAGAGATGACCACATAAATATTAACAAATAAATTATCTCTCTCCTTATTTAAATGATTTTATACAATTTTGTTAAGTTTTTCTCTGCAATGTCAACCAAAATGTCAATATGTAGACGGTCTTCTTGACATTGTAGAGAAAAACTTAGCAAAATTATATAAAATCATTCAAATAAGGAGATAGATAATTTATTTGGTAATATTTTTGTGGTCATCTCTCATGTCACATGTGCACCGTGCATATTGTAGCATTGGAGATGCTCTAACTACATTATAATATATACCTATTAAAATTATTTCTCAAAATATACTCGAAATACTTTATTTAATTATTGTCTAAATAACCATGTCGTTTTGTTATGAGAACTTTCCAATGGGACGGATGAAGTATAAATTAAACATCGTAAAATTAGGATTTTTTATTTATGGAATAATAAGAATCCTAAATGACTAAATCCCAAATCAACAATTCATTTCAGATTGTTTCCCTTTTCCCTGTTGTATATGCTGCCTGTATAAAAGTTATATAACGTTAGGTTGCTTCCGTTAGTTAAAGGGGCTTTTTGCCCTCTTTCCAAGTTTGTTAAAGATTTTTGCTCTTAAATTAAGTTCATGGGCATAGATCTCCCTTGTTGGCAACTTCAGAGGTGTTTTTGCCCCCTTTCTCATAAATCAATTAAGTTTTTATCAATTGTTCATTTATAAATATTAAACAACTATGAATCATCAACCATGAAAGAAGCCGATTAATAAACTAATCAAATAAATTAAGAAACAGAGGAGGCCGCACTCACTTGAACTTCTGATGGCTGATTGTTGAGGTGGTGACTCGGTGAGGCAGACGGCAATGAAGGCGACAAGGCGTGAACAACAAAATAGGGGCGGCCCTGAGCGTTAAGCCTGAAGCCCTGAAGGTGAGCACAGAGCACCGCGCACCACTGCACGTCTGCACCAGAGGTCCAGAAGGCTGGTTGGGCGCTGGTTGAGGAAGTCTGGAACAACTAGAAGTCCGGCAGACACCAGGCGGCCGGCAAGGCACTCGACTGCTTAAAGTTGGTAATGTTTGATAAAATAAGTGATTTTTGTGTAATAGAAAAAGTAGAAAACCAGATTCTAGCTTTTAACTTTATTAATTTAAGTAGAAGTTGCCACTTGAAAACACATTTTTTAACTTTTTAAGCCAAAAGTTGGGATGCGCTTCTTTAAGCGTCTACAAATGGTGCCTAAGCTTTTCCGTATTCGTGGCTTGGGCCGAACAAAATTAGGATGTTTTCTTTTAGATGGTTTTCAGTCCCAGATGAGATCAAACCAAACTAGATTAGATCAGATCAGATCAGGCTTCCGTAGGTATAAAATACACAGAGACCAGACAATTATTAGACCAGACCAGTTCAGACCAAATTAGACCAGACCAGACCAGACCAGCAAATTTCAAACCAAAAGAAAATGATCCGAGCAGCTCGCGAGCTGCTCGTGGATAGGGCTGAGCATAAACCGACCCAACCCGAATACCCGATCGGATATTTTGGATATTACCCGACCGGGTAGGGTCAACCGACCTGAAATGGAAACCCGAATACCCGATCTGCTAAAGCCTAAACATTATTGGGCCGGGTGGGTTTTGGTTTTTGCCCAACCGACCCGTCCGAAAACCCGAATCCCCACCCCAGTACCCAACCCATATATATATATACTCCCCTAATAAACCCTAACCCATTTCCGCCTCCTTCGCCATCTCTCTACTCTGATTCTCTGACTACTCTCTTCGCTGACCTTACTCGGTTACTCTCACCCTCTGTTCCGAATCTCTCCGCCTCCTTCTCCGGACTCCGGTTGAGAGATGGTGAGTGGTGACTCTATGAGGGTCTGACTGTCTGAGTGTGTTCGTTATTTACTCTCACACGCTTCTTGAGTTCTTGGTTTGAAGTTGAAACCCTAAAGTCATCGGATCGGAAGTTGAACTGTGGAAGCATTGCCCGATTTGCCCCTTTTCCGGTTGGACCTTCTGGTAAACCTAAGCTCAGTCTTAGTCTCCCAATCTCTCATATCAGTCACACTCAAGCGTGAGGTATAACTTCTATTCTCCGCTTGATGAAGAGTGTGTAAATTGTGGTTGTGACTTACTCACTTGTGAGTTGTTGTTTATTGTGTGACTTGAGCAGCCTTGAATGTTGAAGTGTGGAAGTAAAACATGATGTTGAATCTGTATTGTTGTCATGTCTGTCCGAAACTGTAATTATGTATAAATTATTGTTATGTCTTTGCTTGAGGTTGTGTGTATGAATGTTGCCTATTACATGTTGGTTATTCTTGTTGTAGAAGTTACTTGATTGACTCAAACACTCAAGCTGAGTAGTTAGAGTTGACTGGTTCTTCTAAGTCTGCAGAGAATAGTTAAGCCTACTGCTTATACTATTCTGTAAATCACCTTGGTGATTGTTCCAAACTTGATTTCTATGACTGCCTTGACTGAGAATGATTTGAAATGATGAATGAATGATTGATGATGAAAGAATGATTGCTTCTTTCTGAATTGTCATAGTGGAAGCTGTGTAAGGTTATATGTATGAATGTTGCCTATTACATGTTGGTTATCGTTGTTGTAGAAGTTACCTGATTGACTCAGACACTCAAGCTGAGTAGTTAGAGTTGACTGGTTCTTCTAAGTTTGTAGAGAATAGTTAGGCCTAATGCTTATATTATTCTGTAAATCACCTTGGTGATTGTTCCAGACTTGATTTCTATGACTGCCTTTACTGAGAATGATTTGAAATGATTATAACTATGTACATAAAAGAGTGATTGTGGCCCAAAGAATAATGAATGAATGATGATGAAAGAATGATTCCTTGTTCTTTCTTAATTCTGATTGTGGAATCTAAGAAAAGGTCCCTAAGTTTCTGAATTCCTTGTTATAGATCGATGGAATCCCAAGATCTATCTGTATCTGGTGCTCAACCTCCTCCACCCAAACAACCTGCAGTGGAAGCTGAGAATGTGGAAGCTCAAACTCAGAACATTGCTTCAACTGCTGATGTTGGACAAAAGAGGAAACAGGTTGAAACTAGATCCAAGATATGGGAACACTTTCACAAAATGTATGATAGCAAGGGAGTCCTTGTGAAGGGAAGATGTATATATTGTGCTAAGGTGTACTGTTGTGAGTCTAAAAGGCATGGAACTTCTTCTCTGAGAAACCACATGCTTAGTTGTCTGAAAAATACACACTCTAAAGAGACAAAACAAGCCTTACTAACCTTCCAACCAGTTGTTAGTACTCAAACCACCTCTCCAGAAACAATTGGGGTTATA